TGAAACCGGAAAGTGTGTAGGAACCGCTGGACCTATGCATTGCTACTCATTTCTTCTTTGATGGACAAACATATCAACAACTGAAAGGAACGCCCATGGGGTCACCCATATCAGGGCTCATTGCCGAAGCTGTATTGCGAAACTTGGAACGCATTCAAATGCCACCTGATCGGCCCAAAGTTTTGGATCCGATACGTTGACGAAACGTTTGTCATTTGATCAACAACACATTCCACAACATCGAGTTCACCATTGTATTGGAGGAACACAACAAATTGCCATTCCTGGATGTTTTGGTTCACAGGGACACCGGCGTAACACTACAAAATTATGTATATCGGAAGAAGACACGCTGCTCAAATGTTGAACCACCACAGTGACCAAAAGATGAGAGCAATTTATTTCTACAGAGATCATTGCAGATTCACTTGTGATACAGAGTCGACGATCTGTTATTATTTGAGTACATAGCTTATTCCTAGCATAAATGACATCCGCTTTTTACCAGCGTGTCGACTCTTCATGGATGACGAATTGCCCAATATTTGGTAGAACGCATCTGGAGTGTGGTGGTTCATGCGAAGTTTCAGTGATGAGTTGTAAATCAGGAGTTTAAAGGCTAATCAAATGATGCTAGGCGTGCATTTTATTCATGCTATCGAGCATTATTGAGATGCAGCTTGGCTGTGCCTTGCTTGTACACCAGATCCAGAACTTCATTGATTAGTGGGGATATGGCATTGATGCTGGATGCAGGAGTAACCATTGTGGGGCGCAGTGGTTTTGGTGGAAAACTCAGGGTACTGCGGCCGCAGTATGACTGACATAACTGTGCTACATTTAGAAGCTGGTTAAACAAGAGGTTTCTTTGGACTGATGATATTGTGGCGGCAGATTCCAACCTTGGCTAAAACATACTGTGTTGTGTCAACTATCGCACATGTTCGTTGCCGGTAAAGCTAAGTGAGGCAGCATACGCTGCTGTGTTTTCCGTCAAAAATGGAAGTTTTACTCGATTGGTTTTCGGTTATGTGAAGGTTGGATCATTACATGAAAAATATGTCTCAATGTTTGGCATTGTAAGTACTGCGATTTGACATTAACTGAATCAGATGCGGGTGTACAGTAGAGCCAGTGTTACGTAGGCGAAGATTATACCAGGGAGCAGATGTCCATTCAAAGTTAGGTGCTTTCTAAGTGTTTGTAGAATCTCGGTTACTTTGTAATCCATAGTACACCTCTCCTTCGGAAAGGATTGATCTCTTTTTTCCCATCTGTTCGAAAAGCTTTAGTTTTTAGGGTCGGGCTATTAGCTTATTTGTTATTTATACTTTATGTAGATAGTTCGATGATTACACTGCTAGTATGTTTTGACAGCTTTACGCTTAGCTTCGATCAAGATCATCATAATAACGTCTGACTTGGTTGCACAGGAAATCTCATCCGCGCATAACCTGCATCCGATACATTAGTGACATTGAGATCAGGATTATGGGAGCCATCTTCACTGTGAACACCGGTTTTCAAATATGACTGTTCAGACTTTGCGATTGCGAGATTTGTTGAAAAATCTCTTTTTTCTAGAATTCTCTTTCCATTGGAGTCTGCTCAGCTCTGCTCTTCAAATTTCAATTCAGCATTCGCTGCGATTAGATACTGCTTATTAATGAACGAACAGGTAATCTCTGGAGTGTTGCAATTGTGGAACATCGGATACTTGTTTTTGCTAGGGTTTTTCAGAATTCTTACAAATGCACAATTTGCGCCACTTAAAGAAGTAGCCGATAGAAATATATGCTTTTAGTTATCGGTCGGGTACCTATCAGAAACATTAAAGACAATAAGCTTCTTAGATTGTATTCGCTTTTCGTATAAATCAGTGTCAATAGTAGCTATGAAGTTGCCAGCCATGTTCATCGCATGAGGTTTGAGGTGGATCTAAGATGTACGCTAGCCTTCTTTGCTGCTTTATGAATGATTCTTCGGCATTTATTTGGCTCTTAAGGTCTCAACTCCGTTTCCATAGATGATATTCTGTTGGATATATCGGTTGCTGGGTGTACCACTTGACGATGCTTTTTCTGCGGTGTTATCACAGTAACAGGTAAAACAGTTTACTTAGTTTCTGCTTTTTGTCTCGTAGCTGATCTTGTTGTAGGAGCCGCGATTTCTGTTGTCATTGTGGATTGCACTAGTTCCAAAAGTGAAAAAGGAGAATTCGGGCACTATTGTGTAAGTGTCAGGGGTTGCCAACTGCCTAGATAGATTAAGTCTAGATTAAGTGTATGTCCACAGTGAGTAATTTAGGAACAAACTACGAATGACCGCAGTAGGTAAATCTCTACTGTAGAACCTCAATTAACAAAAGGGAATAGGGTAACTGGATGAACATGCATTACGACAGGAATAGCAGAAAAACAAAATGAAAGACGCACCGTTTATGCAATCACGCCACTATACTCGTTGCTCAGCAATCGGTAATAGTTTCAAGATCAGATTTCTACGTCCGTCGCTCCAGGCGTGCTCACAACGCGCTCATGTCAGTCACACGTTCCGGGGTTTGTCAGCTTCGTGCGTGTTATTGATCCGGCCTTTAAGTGGACAGGCGGCAGGCAGTCGCCGCGAACCGGGGTAGAATGTAGGCGGAATAAGTTGGTTTTGAACCTACTATCCAATGGCAAGATTGGGCCATATTGACAACTGCCACTTTATACAATGACCAGAACGAATTTTATTGAGGATTTCAGATAGCGTTCAGATTTGCGAGCTCATGAGCGAAAGGACTAGGCGTCTGCCTTGCAACCCGGAAGTCGCGAGTTCGAGCCTGTTTGGGAGACGGGGTGACCATCACAGTACTCTTAGTCCATGCGCGACTGGTGCTGGTTGTGTGGCAACAAAGCGTCGGTACGGCATATTGCTGGCGCCTTTTTTGTCTTCCGAATAAGACCACAGACGTTCTTATGGGCACAAAGATGAAATTGTACGCGTAGGTTCAAGCATGCATAAATTCGGGATTACTAACACAGTTTGGTTCTGATCCGCAGTCCTTGGGTCCCACAGATAGTAATGAGCAGGCCTCGCTCATGAGGTGAATAATGAATTTGCGAGTTGAGATGTTATTTTGTCCACAGCTCGCCTTGACTAAGCTTCTCCTGAACACTTCAGTTGGTGCATCGTAAAATAATTGTGGTTTTGTCTATCAGAAAAACGTGTAAACTCAAGTTTGACTTCCTGAAAACCATCCAGCTAAGTAAACAAGTACCATCACTGTCATCATTAGGTGAAGGTCTGAGCGACAAAGGTTCATGGCGAGTTCTGGCCTAGGCAATTACACAGTAATCCAGTTTTCAGCATTTTTGACTTCTTCAATTTTTGGCATCTAGCGTGGGCTGGATAAACAGGCCCGATGCTTTCCTCGTACTCACCTATCCAGTCCTCTGACTGACAGGCCCTCCAATAGCTCTTTATCGATTGTCTACCCTAAGTTTCATCGCGTTCAATTAGACGTCAGTTGACTACTCTCATCCCGTGGTTGTCATTGTCACCATCAATAGATGAACCATCCTGACCAATTCTTTGTTGCCTTTGACGTTTTTTCACTCAATCATTGAAGTGTAAATGGTGCACAAACCGCCTGATTGTGAAGACATTTCCCGCATTTATATGTGTTCACTTGCCACTGTCCTTCGTAGATGCACCATCAAAGTGATCATATACACATGGGAGGTCCAGTTGGTGCTTATCATGCCTACTCACTTTCTTGGCAAGTGATGTTCGAAAAATTGTTCTCCTTCGTATACCGGTGCACAGTTTTCTGCGTACAGCACTTAGCCAGAGGTCTACATGGCGGATAATAGTTTAACGCAGTATTCACAACACGAGAAGTCACTATATCGCTTTACTCTCTGGTGTGCCCCTGTTTGCTTCCTTTTCATGGCCTCTAGATACAATGTTTAACGCCGTTGCTGTCTGTTTGCATTGGGATCCCTTCTACTTGCATCATGTGTCCACTGAATGAGTGAATTGTGTCACCTAGGTAAGAGTACAGCAAAATAGCAAGCATCATAGACCAGTTTGGTTATCATCGCCAATTCTCAGCTCTGAGTGGCGGCCAACCGCGTCCTATCTCGCTATAAACCCCTTTGTAAACCATTTCACATGGGCCATTGTTTTCTCTCTCGTCGTATTTTGTTCCTTCGCCAGAAATTTTATTATATTTCTTTTGACGACTTTTCGCTTGTTGTCTTTGATGTTGCCTTAGATTCGGCAGTTCTTATCAATGATACTTTCATTGTTCTCTTATTCTTACCTCACATCCATTTTTAGCTTCTACTCTACGGATGGATCTCCAATCATCGTATTCGTCGCTATCCTAGAGGTGCAGCCACCTACTAAAAGATCGTAACTTCCCGTGTTTCTTTTCCCAGTTCAGGCTACCCTTGCTACAAACGTCCAAACAAGAACGAAACTTTTTGTAAGATGCAGTGTTAAATCTGCGCAGCGTCCAATGTGTTCCTACAAGAGATAAGTGGCTTCTAGTCCCATAGGTTACGCTTGCTGCTTTTCAAATCAAATTCGTGTATGTTTTAGAAACCCTACTGGGAACATTTTCAGCAATTTACACTAGTTCTGCGGATTTACTGAGACATAACGTCGACATGAAATTGCAATCAACTCGTTAAAAAAACAAAATATACATGCAAATCACTCGAGTAAATGTTTACTCTTGGTGCTGATAGATTTTTTTCACTCCAACAAAAACGGATAAATACAGTAAGAGAGTTAAGATGTGCAAGCAAACGAAATTCTAAATTTTTAGCGGGTCAACGAGCAGGGGAGAGCTTTTGATAATTCAACGTGAAGAGCATGAACAGGGTCATATTTGTAACCTTTACTGAAATGTTGAAGTCATCCAGAGAAGCTGAACAACACTACACCTGGAAATGAGCTTAAGGGGACACACAGTCGTTGTGGAGTCTTTTTGTAGAATACCAGGATAAATGATAGGTGAGTAATATAGACAGAGAGGAAGAATACAGGCAGTCACGAGTTTGTAAACTAAAGAGCAGGGTACTGAATTCATTTTGAGTCTCATGGCATAAAATGATAATCTTTACACCTTGCAGAGCTTTTCGTCAACGGGTGTTGACCAGGTTAGAGTATACTGAATACTGGTTCGAAGAAGTAGAGCTTTCTCTGTGTAGCTGCATCATTCGTCGCTTTTGGACATTTACGCCTTATTTATCGTTCCGCTCTATATATTTTGCCTCTGCAGTGTGTTTGTCTAGGAGCTTCTTTAATTCGGACCCTGGGTTCGCCTGTACTATGTGCTGCGGTAGGTTGTTCCAGATATTCACCACTCTGCGTTCGAAACAAAGTTGGTGAGCGACACGCTTCAACTTCAGTACGATAAGTTTATACCGGTGTCCTCGCGTGCAGCTTGGTGTGCGCAGATGAAGCAGTTGTCTCAGCATCTGGTAATCACTCAGATGTAATATCCGGTGTGTCATGATGAGGTCAACCCTCAGCCGACGATAAGCTAGGGTGTACAGCCCTAGTTTCTTACATCGGTCTTCGTATGGCATACCTCGTAAGTTGGGAATCAGCCTGGTGGTTATATGCTGCACCCGCTCAAGCTTTTCTACCTCGCCTAGCGTGATGGGACAATACGCGGGAGAGCCGTACTCTGGCATTGGTCGTATTATCGCGACGAAGAGGCGAGTAGCAATCTCTTCGGACCAAGTGCTGAAGCTGCGCCTGAGGGCCCAAAGCATCCGAAGGCTGTTTTGGTACAGCCTATTCGTGTTGTCGTTGGACTTTAGGTCGCAGCGTGAGAGCACACCGAGGTCGCGCACGAAAGACGCAGGATGCAACGGTCGACCGGCCACTGTGTACATTCGGCTGTGCTCACACTTACCCAACCTCATAAATTGCGACTTAGCAGGGTTGATCGGAAGGTTGACCTCTGCAGACCATGTCGAGAGGCAGTCAAGGTCCTGCTGAAGTAAATCACAATCATTGGGTGTGCGGATTACTCTCCACACCTTCAAGTCATCTGCGAACAACGCACAAGGTGATTGGAGTAGCTGAGGCACATCGTTTACATGGATCAGAAACAAAATCGGCCCTAGTGCAGTGCCTTGGGGCACGCCGCTGCTCGATGGATACCAGTCAGTTAGATGGTTGTCCACCTGGACCCTCCACTTTCGATCAACAAGGAAATTTCTAATCCATTTTACAGTGTATGAGATAAATATGCACCTAGGTATTTAACTGTGGATGTACTGCGTATGTTATGGTCGCTTACCACCATGGGACAAGAAGTATTTGCCAATGTCAGACGTTCGTCAGTGCGGAGAAAAGTGAAAGCTACAGTAATGGCCTTTAGAAGCGTTAAGAATAAGGGATCGAGACGACGACAACTTCTAAAGCTTGTCCAACCCGCTTTGGAGACCTGCTGATGATTCCGCAGTTGGAGCAATACCACCTGGAACTACATCGCCAGCGTGCTTACATCCGATAAAGTTGGGCGAATTGGAAGCATTTTGATGTATCGCTACAATAGAAGTGGGGAAAGAATCGCTCCTTGTAAGACGCCCTAGTCATCAAGGAGTGGTAATTTTTTTTACCGTTTACTGCATAAAATAATTTGAGTTTTACGAAGTGGTTGCTCATCAGGTTGCACACTGCTGGTTGATCACCATTTGCGGACAGCTGATTTAGCAGGATTGATCTGTCGATATTTCCAAAAGCGTTGGTGTAATCTGTGAAGAGGAGCCGCACAGTCTTGCATTTCGCCTCCCATGTAGAAGCTATTGAGTGAATAATGCGTTCAATATGTGACGTCGGTGCCTATACGCAAATTGAGGTACGTCCACGGCCGGAGTGCTTGTTGAAATCTAAGGCACAAGTAGTCGCTGGAATTCCTTCAGCATGACGGATGTACAGGTGATCGGACGGAATTTCATGGAGCCCTTCTTTGGCACGGGTGTTATCGTGACATGTTAGGAATATTACAACCTTGTGGCCACCGACGCATAAGATCTGTCATCGGAATGGTGACGGTATGGGCACACTCTTTCTGGACAATTGGTGAAGGAGCATCAAACGCACCAGACTTCCTGAAGTCCAGATTCATGAGTTCACGGTGGATTCCAACTTGTTGAAATGTTGTTTTCTGGGCCAGATCCCGAGAATAAAGACAAGGATCGTTCTAACCGCTGTATTAAGCGTTGTTGGCAGAGCTTAATGGCCTCTTGATCACGGCGACAGCCGCCAACAACCATGCGCCTAGTTCTACTCCCAGAACAGGCTATCTGTACCTGACGAGTCTAACTCGGGATGGAGCCGATCAGTCGTAGATTGCGGTGATAGGACAGAGCAACACCGAACCCCTCCACAGGAGGATGCTTCCTTTGGGGAAGAACGGAACTTTGATTTGAGTTTCTCTACATCCACAGATCCAATAGGCTCACTGGATCTTTCGCCACATAGCTGCTTTAAATGTCTCATCAATTGTGGTTGCATAAAACGACTTCGATGTGTAAATTATTCAGTCGTGAAATCACATTTTTATTACTAAAGTGAGTTGTTTGACACTGGCAGTCATTTTACAATTATAAGCTCCCTCTTTTTCCTTCTAAGTTGTGAGTGGTGGTGAAGAGAATCTATCTACTCTTAAGTAGATAGTTTAAACCGGGTGGTACAGATCAAAGTAGAAGTTAAGATAGTCAGTATTATGATCACACTGTACAGGCAGGTCTTCGTTGTTGAAAACTGTAAAATCAGTAGAAGTCCGTGTTTCCGGGAGTCATGCAACATTGCATACTCAACAGTGTCGTCGCCTCACAGTCTTGAAGGGCTTAATAACCAATGTTAATCTTACCATGGACGATAGGGCACGCTTTTATGATACGATGATCGGAGTTATCTGGAGGAGCCGAGCTTGCTCTCTGATGACAAAAATCTGATTGTACTTCCAGTCTGGTCGGAAAGGCTACTTGGTCAGATCAAGTACCTGAATGAATGTGGTATCACTTTTACTAAAGTTCCAAGCGATGGCAGGCTGAGCGGTCAAGTTCCCTCAGTAACGCCGATGATGATGGTGTGTCGGGGGCTATGTATACGTTTGCAATCACAAAAGAGGTAAAACCACTCAAAAACTGACATACATTCACTCAAAGGGCAGCTGATGCTGACTGTTGAGTAGATGAAAAATATGGCTGACGACTTACACCAGCTTTGACAGGCGTAGATAACACACCAATTCGGATTTTGTGGTATTCCGGGGCGATGGGATCTAATGGGAACATAACCAGCAGGTTAAATAGCATCGTCTCCTAAATCAGAATGTAAACAGCTTCCTTAAAGCACCAAACTCGCTGCATTCAACTATTCATTTTACTGTATAACAACAGTATGATTGCTCATTTTACCAAGTAGTGATCGGATATTGCTTTATAAGATCAGTGAAATTTGTGTCTTATCTGAGGCTTACTTGCCTGCTAGCACGGTGTTTTCTCAATTAACTTGAGTTTCCTCATAACTCGTTTGTCGTTTTTCTGGGTCTTTACCGATATCAGTGCTTTACGGGTCTCGCATGCAGAAGTCAATGGGTTTCGTGGCCATGTTATTCTTGTCTGAAGGTTCATCAATCTGGTCCACTTTAGTTTTGCTATGACCTTTATTTCTTTATTTATTCCACCGGTATTATGCGCACGGTTCTACATGATCATCTGGCGCTCATTTCCCTTTTTTCGTGACACTGACAATTATTCTGGTCTCGGTAGCAAGCTTCCGATCCTTCGCTTTCCGTCGAATTCCACTTTCTGATCCATGCCTCTTGCACCACCGACCGTAAACGTTCGAAATGCGCCTTTTTTATTTTATTACCGCAATCAGAATTTTATAATGTACCGTGAATTGTTGACGTCTTTGGCAACTACCAATTGACCTGCTGACATACCGTAGCATAAGCCCGGTGCTTCCCAACTCTTGGATCTAACCTGTGTGGATTATACTCTTGCTCCAGTTTTCGGCATATTGTTTGCCCGAGTTCTACGTGTGTAACTACATCAAACCGGAGATTTTCGGGGAAATTTTTTTGTTTCATTCGGAAGAAGAAGCTGAGAGCTCCCAAACTACGCGGCAACCATCCATGCATGTTGCAACATAACAAAGTTACAGTCATTTTGCTTCGCGCGTCAACTGAACAGCTCCAGGGACGCTTATCAGCGCTCCCCCTGCATCGTCGCTTAAGGCAGTCCGATCAACACACGCTGCCGCTTTGTGTGGGTGTGTGTTTGTTCAACTGCGAGTCAATTGATCGCTGAACCCGGCAGTCTGCGCGTTACGATCTGTCTCGACCGCCTGACTTTGGTGCGGTTGAACAACTCTCAATTCGTGTGCGTTTTGACGTCTTTGTGCGTCACGCCTAGCTCGAAGAACGCTCATCAAGGTGAGCGCTCAGATAGGCCTTGCGGCAAACGATAAGAGGACGACTAGGATTCCAATGGTTCAGCATCGCCTATGTTGCGTAGCCAATTACAATAAACTGATGAGTAGTAGTGGGGATTTTGGTATAATTCAGCTAATTCATCATTGTCATTCCCAATCAGCGGACCCCTGCCGGGTTCCGCCCCCGGCTCTCCGCCGTTCGTCTTCGCAACTCACCTAGCTGAGTGCGCATAGTACCCGATCTACCTTGGAAAGATCACCCAAAAAAGCAGTTGACCAACGCGGAATTCCTAATACAATATTTGTTCATGGTGTTTTCGAGCTTCTGCATTCTTTTGATCACGATACGCAAACACATGACCGAGTGAAGTGGTGCTACGTCCGCGAAGCACTCTCTGTTGACAATGTTATTGCCAAATCCTTGACAAGAGTTCCGTCATCACCCAACTACAAGGGATGCGGTCCAAGGCTAATGAAGGTAATACTACACTCCGAGGGAATGACGCAAATTCTGTTGGATAGCTGGTTCAAGTTTCGAGCCAGGTTGCCAA